CTTTTCTCTAAGACTGTGTTTGTTTTACTTTGGAAAGAGACAACAGCAGTATTGACAAAATCAAAGCAGCATTTTAAATGTTCTAACACTATTAAAAGTTTAGCACTGTACTTGCAAGGGCCAAATGCTGTGACTCTGTGAAACACCAGGAGCATCTGTTCTCTGAACTCCTGTAGCCAACTGTTAGGTCTTGCCTTGCTCTCCTTGCAGCCTCACTCACCCCAGGGCCTATTCTTCTGGGTGTTCATGCTACTCCTCTCCAACTAGACCATAAGCCTTTGGAGGGCAGAAGAGTGTCTCACTCATTGCTGTAACAGTGATAATAACAACAATCTTAGCTGACTTTCATTGAGTAATCAGTATGTATTAGGCTTTCTCAGAATTTTTATCTATAGCTCACTTAAGGAGCTCTTGTGGTACCATGTTTAAAGCATCTGGCTGCTAACTAAAGGGTCAGTGGTTTTGAACCCTACAGCTACTCCACTGGAGAAAGATGAGGGCTTCTGCTTCCAGAGAGATTTATAGCCTTGGAAACTCTATGTGGTAGTTCTGCTGTGCCCTATAAGGTCAGTCTGACTTACAGAGCTGCTGTGAGTTGGAATAGACTCAGTGGCAGTAGTTTTATATCTCACTTAATTCTCCTAATGATTTTATGAAGTTGTTCTGGTTAGTTGCTGTTGAGTCAGTTCCCTGACTCATGGAGACCCCTGTACAATAGCACAAAATGCTGTCTGGTCCTGCATTATCACCAGGATCAGTTGTAGATCAGTCTGTTGCAATCCACAGGGTTTGGGCTTATTCTGGAAGTAGATCACAAGGTCTTCCTTCCTAGTCCATCTTGGTCTGCAAGCTCTACTGAAGTCTGTTCAGAAATCATAGCAACACACAAGCCTCACTGACAGACAGGTTGTGGCTTTACATGAAGTGCACTGGCTGGGAATTGAACCTGGGCCCTACCCCCTGACATTACAACAAATAAACAGACAAACAAAAACTCACTGCCATAGAATCTATTCAACTCATAGTAACCCCTCCTTGGGTTTCTGAGACTGTAACTCTATGGAAGTAGATGACCTAATCTTTCTGAGGTGGCTGGTGGGTTTGCATCGCCAGCCTTCTGGTTAGCAGTCAAATGCCTTAGGCACTACACCAGCAGGGCATTCCACCACTGATCCTGCCCTGTGATGTGTGGGTACCATTATATTTCTTTAGTGTATAAGGAAATTGAGGCATGTACACAGTCTTACAGCCAGCTACGCCTACTGACAGTGTCATACAGCCACAATCCCTACTGCTTCACTGTCACCTTGAGCCCTGTCCTATGTGCAGAAGATGCTCAGTAATTTCTGGTTGATTGAACTGTTGGATGAATCTGAGGAGCCCAGATGGTTTATTTCTAAGATTTTTTTTCAGATATGATTTATTAATTGAATGATGAGCTTAAAAGATAATACAGCAAGAGTTGTTAATAGTAGTTTAATGACATCTAAAAATCCAGCAGCTCATCATACCTAACAGTATGCACTTCAGATATTAAAAGAACTGTGATGCCTCTTTGGTAAGTGTTGTCATAGGCAGTGTGAGCACACCTAGATTCAGTTTCTCCTGACTCTGGTAGTTTGCTCTCCAGTGTCCTGAGGATGGAAGATAATAATTTGCTGGATCTTGGGTCAGTAAAGACAGATTCATGGTGAGTTTTCCCTTAGTTGGTGAGCCTGCTCTATCCTTCACTACATTTGGTAAAAATTGACCTTTAGTTATGTGACCTTGTGTGTAATAAAGAATTGGGCTGGCCTTTGTCTCTAGTTCTTGGGATGTAACTTCTAGATCCTTGGAATTTCCTAAGTGATAGGAGTGTCTTTGTTATTCATGGTGGACCACCTGGTGGTCCATACCAGATAATTTATGCTGAGGTGTCTTGTGGCGGGCCCCTAGATAGTTAATGCTAAGGAGATGACTCAGGATGGGGGTTGGCTATGCCAGGAAAACCAATGATGTGATTATAGGGTTGGAGCTTTGAGTCATGTGACAGCAGTTCCAACTTGGGGGAGAAAGAGTTCAACTGTGAAGGATGATTAATCAATCATGCCTATGTAATGAAATCCCAATAAAAATTCTGGCTTGGCTGAGCTTCTTGGGGTGGCAGTACTCATGTGCACGCTGCCACACACTAACACGGGGAGCATAATGCTTCCCCAGGGACATAGCAGCTTTGAGTTGGAACCTTCCCAATCCTAGACGTCACCCTAGGTGTCTCTTGGCTGCTTCTAATTTGTACACTTTCACTATAGTAAAACTGTAATAGTAAGTTAAGCAGTTTCCTGAGGTCTGTGAGCCATTCTAGGGAATTATCAAACCCAAGGGTAGTGGTGGGAACATCTGAATTTGTAGCCAGCTGGTCTGAAGCAAGGGTGGCCCTGGGACTCCCGGACTTACACCTAGTGTCTGGAGTGAAGGCCTTTGGAGACTGTTCCTTCTGACTGTGAAGTTTGTCTAAACACAATGCTCCTTGCCATCGCTATGAGAATTCTGACATTAAACAGAATAAACAGAGCTAACATCTGTTGTTCAGGTGCTTACAAAGAATTCTCAACAACTTGTCCATAAATAGAAGCAAATAAACTGTCATGAGTTAGCTAGCTACTCTAGATATTTTTTCAGCATAATGTAATTGTTGTTGACATAATGGGGCATAATTAAAATGTTGGAACCTTTTATACCTAAATATCCCAAAGACGCACTGCCATCTAGTTGATTTTGACTCATAGTGACCCTATAAGACAGAGTAGAACTGCCCTGTAGGGCTTTTAAGGCTGTGAATCTTTATGGAGGTACACTGTCTCCTCTATCTCCTGCAGAGCGGCTTGTGGGTTTGAACCACCGACTTTTTGGTTAGCAGCTGAGTGCTTTAACCACCATGCCACCAGAACTCCTTTATCCTTAAATAAAGACTTTATTAAATAAAGACAATTAATATAATGATTAGAGTCATAAATATTTCTGAGAAGCTCTCTGAGACTCAGGAACACTACCAACTGAATTTCTAAAGTAGTAAGATATTTGCATTCTGTGTGAAACCAGCAAGTTAATATTCAGAAAGTGAAAAAGATAATAAGCAGGTTCTTCAGATTTTTCTTCTCATGCATTCCTCATCTTGGTATTACTTTCAATCCCTTTTCTTCTTATTCTTTTTAAATGAAAACATAGTGTATCATTTCTCTCTGTACCGACAGTATTTTTTAAAACTGAGAACTCAAAAACAACAATAATAAAGACATTTTAATCTTCACTTTACTTCTACTAGAGATTTTTGAAAAAGAGAGAGAGAGAGAGAGAGAGAGAGAGAGAGAGAGAGAAAGTAATAAGAACACCTTAGTAAATAAAAGGACCTCTGATGGCATAGTGGGTAAGGCATCTGGTTGCTAATCTGAAGGTGGGCTGTTCAAACCCACCACTGCTCCATGGGAGCAGTTTGCTTCTGTAAAGATGTACAGCCTTGAAAACCCAAGTGGGATGGTGGGTTGCTATGAGTTAAAATTGACTTCATGACAGTGGGGTTTTAAATTTTTTTTTTTTTGGTGGTAAATAAGGGCAGAAAAACTCCACATCCAGATTTGCTTTCTATTAACCAAAGTCTCTAATCAGCCACAAAGAAGACAGCTGACAGGTACATCTGTAGGCCCTACACTTGCACTGACTCTAACCGGAACCCGTTATTAGGGCTGCATTTATACCACAGAGCTTTCAGAAAAGTAGCAGTGTCTGAGTGAGTGTGGTAACCTGGTCCTTACAATGCCCTCAGAGCCCAAAACACTTGGCTTGGTAACATAAATATTTGTTTTTTGACTAGGAAGTAGATATAGTGACAAGGTACAAAAAGTAATAAGCATGCAGCCCTTTATTTAGATTTGCAAAGTCTCTGCTTATAGTTCTGTATATTACATGACTGTGTTATACAAATACATTTATTTACAAAAACACTATAGCTGTGCAAACTTGTTGCTTTTTTTAAAAATTTATGGACAGTCCCATTTCTCCCCATCCCAATATATATATTTTAAAGCATGCATAAAAATTAACTTTGGTGTGGGAAAACTACTCTATGTGCTGTCACATACAGTATTTTTTTATGTCTATTTATATATTTACAAAAGTTTGTCAGTTTACAGAACCGTACAGAAGTGTACATTTTAAAATCCACAATGCAATACTGTGGGTTACCAGGTCTCTGAAAACAAAGAAGGGGTCTGACACTGCAAAGAAAACAATGAAAGAATCCCAAAATGTTTAAAAAGGAAAAAAAGAAGAAAAGCAAAGAAAACTAGCTTGCTTGGGCTAGCAAATTATTATACATAATTACCATGGCAGTGCAATATGTTTGATAAATTGCCTTCCACATGTGTGTAGAAGTTCATTGGTTTATTGTCTAGCACACTACTTTCAAATCTACAATGCTATATAGTATCAAAATGTTTTGGCAAAAAAGATCGTGAAAGGAACCATGACTTTTGACAAAAATAGAAATCTGTAATAAAGCTAAATAACACTAAAATAAAAGGAAATATTATAGTATCTGTTTTACAATTTGTATAGTCACACTTGTGCATTTCTCTGATCACTTCTAGTCTCTGTAATGAAAAATATTTTTATACAAAACATACTAAAATTCTGGAATCGTACGTTTTACATGCCTAATACATTTTTCCTCTCTCACACCCACCCTGCTCTCTCACCAACCTTGCCTGTCGTAACACATGCTTGCTTCATTTAACAGGTATTGAATATAGGTGGTAAACACTATGGAATTACAACAGTAACAGAGTAAAAAGAAACAACCCCACCTTACTGAAATCTATTAATGCAGTATTTAGCACATACTTAGCATTAAGCCTCAAACAATACAGCAATATGTTACATTCTCTTTTGAAAACAGTTGTTGCAGACTGTTAAAAAAGAATTTTTTAATACAACTCCAACTTATGCCTAATAGGATTTGGCCTTTAAGAGGTCTCCTTTGCTGTGGATGGGGTGGCTTTGCTTGAACTTCCATTCTGTGCCTTGTAGCTGGTGAGGCTGGGAGTGTGGATGGTTCTGGTGCTCTTGGCACCTTGGTTCAGGGAGGTAGGGGAGGCAGGGGAGGGAGGGGAGGAGGAGGAGGAGGAAGGAGGGGCTGCTCGGCCATTTTGAGTCTGCAGTGAGAATGAAAGATGGTGACCTTTACCTGGATGAGTGGGGCTCTGAAACTTTAAGGAGCCATTAGAGACAGAGGGGATGAGGGAGGCAGAGTGAGCAGCTCGTCCTGTTTGGGGGCTGAGAGGGTTAGAAGAAGTAACCGATGGTTTAGTAGCAGGTGCATTAGGGAGGTTAGAGCTGTCACCACTAGCAGAGGGCAGAGAACTGCTTTTCCCAGAGCTGGGAGAAAGGGCTGGAATCTTAGAAGCAGGTAAGGAGGGGGAAGTAGGCTTATAGTCCCCACCAGCTTTCTTAGCACTTCCATTAGCCTGTAAATAAAGATGGTGGGAGACAGTTTGTCAGAAAGCTGGTAACATGATCAATCCACAGGGCCTGGCAACACAGCCCTTCTGAGAATAATTAAATAAAAGAAAAAAAATATATACAGTTCAAGGTCTTAGCTAAGTCTTGTGCTGTACTGGACCTGGTAGAGACCCCCAAAGTACGTAGCAAAGGATGGACAGAAGAGGAAACAAGAAGAGCATTTGTGAGAAGTCACATCATTCCAACTACCATTACCATGTGCTAGGTCGACCATGCATCTGGATTATTACTGGGGCTGTGTGTTGGGGGGTGGTACCATGATGGAGAGTTAATGTGCTTCTAATGCAATGCAGTCAACATATACGTTAGTATCCGTGACTTTAAGGGCGGTTCAGCAACACGTTTGTCTGTCTGTGTTCCCCGAGGTGTTCTCGTGAACCACTACATTCACCAAACAAAAGCCAACTGCACTGGAACGGTGTTAAGAGCTAACATTTGGAGTCACAAAGTAAAAGATGTTTTATTGCAAGCATGCAAAAGCATGGTGAAAAGTTTAACAAAGATCTTTAGACCGTTTCACGCCCCCAGATCCAGGATGTCTACTTAAACCATATTTTACAAAGAAAACACATCATTTGACATAAACTAAGTCAGCAACTTGCTTCTTAAACAATAAGACTGTCCATCCAAAATTGGGTTTAAGGTAAAACTACCTGACGATATTGGCGGGGATCCTGCAGTTTGGACTGTTTGCTGGGTTTGTCCATGCTTCCAGGTCTGTTCTTGGAACTCATGGGCACTGGCATCCTGCTCGTCTGTGGGGTCCCACTGGAGCCCTGTGAGAAGGAAGAGTGAGAGGGAGAAGAGAAGGCCAGCAGCCTGTGAGTGAGTGGTCCCAGAGGCTTGCCCCGCTGTGTGCAGAGAAGCTCAGTGTGAGAAGCCATAGCCCTACATGCAGGACAGATCTAGGAGATGGACATCAGGAGACACCACTGGGGTTAATTCAAAGAATCAAACAGAATCAACTGCTCCACTACTGATCCAACAGATTTTAATGTGAGTACCAGAGCAATCATTTCACACAGCAAATGGCTGACCCAGAATCCTTGCGTTTACCCAACACCAATCAGCAACAGAGACTTGATTAGCGGTTAGACACCTAGTTGTTGTTGGTTTGAAGGTGAGGGAGAAAGTGTGAGAGACGGATCATGGCAAACAGACAAAAAAAAAAGAGCCACCTGAAAGGAAGCAATTAAATCACAAGACACCTTTGGCTAATGGTGATTATGGCAGATTTAAGAAAGCAGCTGAGTCTTTTCACTTTCCATCAGACCAAGATACCTTACGTGAAGCTGAAGGTATTGACGTGGGGGGTTCTAGGGCTGTAGGAACTTCATCCAGAACTAGCAAAGTTCGGGGAGAGGCCTCTTGAGCTGTGTGGGATGAGCTTGCAACAGAATTTCTCTTGGAAGAACACGAAGTATCAACGAGGGCTTTGGGACTCATTTCGCTGATGGTATTTTCAAGCTGTTGAATGGTCTGCTCCAGGCTGTCCAATGTTTTGTAGGTATTTTTCCTAATTTCGTCAGTTCTTGAAATCTGCCTCGTGTCCTCTAGACTGGGCTGCTCTTGCTTCCTAAACATATTTTTTGGGGCATCCTCAGGCTGAGACCTTGTGATTTCGAATCGTTTGGCTTCTTTGTGTTGTTTCAAAGTACCGTCTTCTTCCTCCTCTTCATAGACCACCACCTGCAAAGTCTTCTTCCCTGTTTTGGTTCCCGTGCGGATGGCCTGAGTGAGAGCAGCCAGTTGCTTTTTAGGGAATTTGAATTTGAACTTTTTCTTGGGGTTTTCAAATTGCTCATCTGCTATGTCACCCTTACTCTCTGAATTTGGAGAATCTGCTTGGCTGAACTGACTCTGTTCTGTTTTACTCATTTCCAGTCCTGGTATTTTGTTGTCTGCTAGCAGGCAGTGTGGCTGTACTGTGCTCTCAGTCTGCTGTCTTGACTTAGGACTAGCTGAGGCAACCTTCTTACTAAATATTTGGGAAGGGTTACTCTGGACTATGGGGTCTCCATTTTCCTCCTCTTCCTCCTCCTCTATCTTTTCCTCAGTCATCATTCTCTCTAATTCCTCATCACATTCCTCAAATATGGTGGAAAGTCTCTTATAGGCAGACCGGATGTCCATGGGCTCATCGAAAATGATGATAACTGGTTTCTTGTCTAGGCACACGACTGGCTCTTCATTTTCAGTCCCTCCTTGTTGGGAGGTTGGCTCTTTTTTGGCATCAATATTAACCGTCTGTATATCTTCTCCCTTTTTGCTCACTATGGCATGGACCTCCCCACTGGACAGAACCTGGACAGCAGTTTTGGTGATCATGAAGGCAATGTTATCTGAGGTTGCATTTTCTTCTGTGGGACTTGATGTTGATTCTCCTTCTTCATTAGGATTCAGGTTAGCATGCCTAGAGCCCTTGGGTCTCAGAACAACTTGCCCAAAATCCGTCATGGAATCTTCTTGATCTTGTGTTCTGACGTCATGGATACTCAATTCAGTTAATCTAGTGGGAGAGGGAAGGTGACACTTATGTGTGTTTTCTTGTCCTTTTTGATTCATCGCCATTATCTTTCCATAATTCATTTTCTGACTTTCCGTGTCAGGCGCAGAGTTCTGCAGTTCTGAGACTTTAGGCTCTTTGCCTATTTCACCTTCTTTTAAGAAACTAATGCCAGAGACATCAGAATTTCCTATAGACAGATTTGTCTGGGAATAGTCTCTACTGTCTCGAAGCAAACTTTTAGTGGATATAGAATTTTCCTTCAGTAAAATGCCAGCTTTATATTCTGATATTCTTGAGGAATCAGAAATACTATTTTCCGTTCCTCTTTCACACTTGTCTTTGGGATGGTCACTAAGTCTTAGTGCCACTGCAGTAACCTGGGAGGGAAAGTGGAGGAGGGAAACCACACACATTAATCAGAAATGGATCTGTAAAGGAAGTTAATTAATCTGCACAGTATCAGGTGAAACACAGATCTGGTGAACTCACCTTTTGGGATTCCACTTGGGGGCCATTTTCATATTCAACATCAGATTTTCGTACGTCTTCATGGAAAAATTCCAAATTCTGGTAGGATAGTGTAGGACATGTTACTCCACAAAACCACATCCCCCCCCACAGTATGTGGGCTATAACTAAATTGTTCCTTTAATTGCACTTTCAAAACATGCTGGCCAAGCACATTGGTTACACACCAGTCCAAAAGCCTATATAGCTCTGTTTACCTTGGGTGGTTTTGTTCTCCAACTTCCAAAAATGCCCTGTGTTTGCACAAGATGAAAATCTCAATTAGCAAAATAGTGCAAGGATTTCAACTTTTGTTGGGGAGTAGTTAAGACAATAAAGGAACTAATTCTGAATTAATGCTTCCCCTTTCCAACATCTGATTGGGAGCTTAGCAGAATCTAAAACCAGAAGAATGGAGGGGCCTGGAAGACGCCCAATGTGCTGGCAGGTTGAAGACTCTGATTCTAACCCAGATCTGTCCCTTTGTTGTGTTACTGTGGGCAAATCATTTCACCTCTTTGGGTCTCAGTCTTGCCTGCAAACTAGACCCACAGATCCTGAATGTCCCTTCCAGCTACTTATTTCGGCTCTATCCCTGCCTCCTTTATGGACATTGTCCTATAAAGACATTTGCATTGGTTGGGGGTGGTACTCTGAGATTAAAAAACATTATTTCTTCTGGTCAAATGACAGATTTAAAACGAACTTGTAGTTTGTACTGCCAAGTTAGAAGCATCAAAATAACCTTCAAATTAATAACAGCCAAGATGATCTCATCCAAATTTACAGTGATCATGCTGCCAAAATATAATCTAATCATTTACAAAACAGATATTGGATGCTCAAATGGTGACTGCAGCATCTTGACTCAGCTTTCATTCTCTACATTGTCTGACCAGGGTGAAGACACATTTCTTAGAGTCTCACTATGAGTCAGTACTTAAGGCTCCAATGATGAGGGTGTAGGTACCGAGTGTGCTTCACCAGGAAACACAGCTTTTCAAGCACAGGTGTTTCGATAGCTTCAAGCCCTGCCATAGACTACTCCTTAGTCATGCCTTTTCCCTTCCAAAGCACTACTTGTCCTTTCTTGTTGCTGTAGAAGCCAAAGGAAAGGTGGGAACACAATTCCAATGAAGGCCCTTTGGTTAAAGCAATTACAAATAACAAAGCACAATAATCCAGGCAAAGCCAAAGTCAACTTGGAAAAATCCTAATGCCCTGGCTGAAAATGGAAAGAATGTTCACACATACTCAAGAAATAACACACGAACAATAAAGTCAGCATTAATCACATGGAAATATTGTAGAAGATGCAGGGTGCATTAGCCACCAAACCCCTCCTATTGAACTTCCCCTCGTACCCACAAACCATCAAACATTTGCAACGATTAAGCTGCTGCAGTTAGACAACATAATTTCTTTTGAAGGATTAAATATTTAGCTTACAAAACAACACATCTATAAAGAGGTTTGAAGAAGAAAAAAAATGAGGTCTCGGCCTATGTTTTCAACTATAAACATGGAGTTTAGGATATCACATTTGAGTGAGAATTTATCCCCTTGAATCAAAGGAAGAACTGGCATAACATCTAAAGAAAGGTACATGCACAGCTGGTATTTGGCAGGTCCCATTTACTGGGGGTGAGGGCTGGGATTGGTTCTGATTGGCCAGGGCCTATGCCATACTCATTGTTAAATATTTTGAATGTCAGCCTGCAATCTATGCATTTTACAACTGTCTAGTAGTAGGATGGGAGCTCTGGTAGCATAGTGCCTAAGGAACTTGACTGCTAACTGGAAGGCTGACGGTTCAAACCCGCCAGCCATTCCTTGGAAGGAAGATGGGGCAATCTACTTCCATAGTGATACTGCCTCGGAAACCCGAGGAGGGGTCGCTATGAGTTGGGTCCGACTCGACAGCACATCACAACAACAACAGTAGTAGGATACTCCAAAATATAGCCCTTAAAATGAAAATGTCAAGTTTACGTGACCTATGATTTTTATCACCAGATTAGAAAAAAGAGTAAGTGTAGGCTTGTGAACTTTATCAAGAGTAATTTGGTCACAATTGTCACATGATCCCACAATGGTTTCTTTGATAGTCTTATGGAGTTAAGAATCTGGATGAAAGGGAATTATGCTTCCTTAACATCTGTTCATAGACCCTGAGATGTGGATTGTTTAGACAATTGGCAGGTGATGTCAATATGCATGTGGACAATAAACTGAAATTACAGACAGGAAAATTGCATCAAAGTGAAGTACAAGGCTGAAACTTTCTGATGGGAGAAAAATTTTAAGACAACATTTGATTTATGGAAGGGCAGATGAATATAGTCCAGGAATAAGTTAAGAATGAAAAGACTTTTGGGGACAAGTTTGATATTCGTAGTTTTCATGAAGTAGATTAATCCTCTGGGTATAATTATCCAGAATAAGAATCTGTGATTCTTCCCAGACAGAAGTGAGCACTCAGTGGAGACCTGCCCATTAACTGGGATACAAGGCACAGGGATTTCTAATCACAGAGCAAGGAATTTCACTCAGCTTTCCAGTCTGTTAGAAAAACTGTCCAATGAGACAATGATAGTTCCAGAGGATCTTTGAGAAGTCCCAAGTTCCCAGTCAGTGTTTCAGACAGAAATGACCACAGTGGCCTAGGTATGGCACGGAACTCAGGCCCTTCCGTGGGTTGGTTTGTGTAGGGCCACACAAGGAAGCTCCATATACTGAAATAGTGTCGGATGTGATTTTGTGGGTTCAATTCAAATTGGTAGAAGGTTCTCTTCATGAGAAAGATGTATTCACAGGAATCTCCCTACATCTCTTATTAACAGTTTTATAGTCAGTTATGTGCTGGGCATCACACAAGGTCTTAATGGTGTCATGAACCAGGGAGCAATGGGTTGGGCCTCCCTGGCAGGAGCCAACTCCTGGAGGCTGGGAGTTGGATGCCTTTGTATTGTCTCAAAGAGTTATGTTAGCATAGCCCTCTGATGTTAGGATCCTGTACCTAACTCACTGGGCTTATACTTACAGACTACTTGTTTGGTTTTAGTTTGCATTCTGAAATATAAGTTCCTGCTTAAAGACATTAGGACTTGGGAAGTCATTATAAGCTTTTATATTCTGAAATTTAGACATAGACTTAATAAAATAAAATAGCCCTATATGCAAGGATCATAAAAGCTCTAGATCCAACTTAAATTTGCATTCAAACATTCAGGCTAAAGTCCTCTCCTTGAAGTACTTAAGGACTGATGACAAACTTTCTTTCAGAGCCTGGTCCTCTTTTTTGAAACCATTAGGGTGCAGCAAAGTATATTTAGCACTTCAGGTAATTTTAGATTGTCTCATCTATATTTAGTTTAATATCTCAGAAGGTACACTTTAAGAATTTGTAAGGCTTCACAGAAAATTCTGTTTGGTACCCTCAAACACATATACAAATACATATTTGTTTGTTTCAGGAGGATATTGGAGTTCTGGTGGCGTAGTGCCTAAGGCATTTGACTGCTAACCAGAAGACTGGTGGTTCAAACCCACCAGCTGCTCCTCGGAAGGAAGATTGGGCAATCTACTTCGGTAGAGATACCGCCTCGCCAACTCAAAAGGGGTCACTATGAGTTGGAATCAACTCGAGGGCAGTGAGTAGTGAGATGAGGATACACTAATATTAAGTTGGCACGTCAGCAGCACTGCCATGTAGTTGATTCTCTGAATCTAAGGCTTTCACTTATTTTTAACATCCATTATTTTTGATCCAGGAGACATGTTACAAATAAGAAAAAAATGTTACGTATTTGGTTGCTATTTCCATTTTTGGTATTGTTGCTCTAGAAACTCATGCAAAGGATCCCCTGGGTAGTGCAAGCAGTTAATGTGCTCAGCTGCTAACTAAAATGTTGGTGGTTTGAGTCCTTGGAAGAAAAGCCTAGCAATCTATGTTTGACAAAGCAGTCATTAAAAACCCTATGGATCACACTTCTATTCTGATACACATACTAAGAGTCAGAGTTGACTCAGTGGCAACTGATTTGGTTTGGTATTTGTCACACTCCTTAGTTTGGGAAGATGTTGTTTAAGTCTGCATATACTATTGTTTGCTGTGCACAGGAACACAGTATTCACCTTGGAAACCTGAACTAGATATCTTTGATGTAAACCCAAACATGTGTCTCCATTAGTTCCAAAAAAAAAAAAAAAGACCAAGAAGCAAGGAGGGGAGGGCACAGAAGGACAAGCATAGGAAAGCTGTGTTAGTATCAGAGCAAGGAAAGAAGGGCTGTCAAGAGCATGTGGCAAATGTGTTATGCCACGTTACCTTCTTTTCCTTGGGTGGGACTGTGGGCCCGGGCCTAGAGTCTTTAACGTGACTGTCAGTCCGCAACTGCTCTGCATGACTGTTTGAATTTACATCCATAAAGGAACACTTCTGGAATGCCTGAGGAATTAAAATACTGAGGTTAACATGGCTCCAACTGCCACTGAGGAGAACAGAAGGAAACAGGCAGAGAATCCAGAGGTGTGGAGACCCCAGCTGAGCCCTGCATGCAGGCAAGTGGCTAGCGAGGCCTCTTGTGAAAGTCTGCTCCCTATTCGACCTCCTGTCTGCAAAGCCAGCTTGGGGATGAGACTCAGGCAAAGGGATCCTTACCTTCCTTGGCCATGCCAAGATGCACAGTGCCTGCAAAAATAACACCCTCTCTCCTCCTATCCAGTAAGGAACCTGGTTGCACTTAGAAGGGCTTGTTACTTTGACTTTTTTGTTTTAAACATTGAATGAAAATAAAGTTTTTTTAATACATTATTTTTTTTCCTTTTAACATTTATTATTGAATTGATAGAAAAAACTAACATGACGTTTTAAATCTTCAAGTCTTAAAATAAGTGATCCTTACTGATTCAGTCTGTGAAATACTAATAGCTACTAATGTGCTCCAATGTTCGTTTTAGAATAAATGATGTTAGCAACCACAGGATTCTGCATGGCCTAGGAGCTGCCTGAGCCCCACAGACCAGTCTCAGGAAACTAAGGATCATCATTATAGGAGGCAATAGCCAGTTTATGTGCCTGCTGAGTCCAGTTCCCAGACCCAAAGAGACACACAAGAAAGTACAGGCTGTGTCTATAGGGCAGGAATCCCTGGGTGGCAGAAATGGTTAAGTGCTCAGCTACTAACTGAAAGGTTAGCAGTTCAAATCCACCGAGAAGCACAATGGAAGTCTGCTTCTGAAAGATCATAGCTCTTGAAAACTCTCTGGAGTTCAGTTCTACTTTGAAACACATGGGGTTGCTGTAAGTTGGAATCAACACAATAGCAACTGGTTTGATTTCTGTTTCATAGAGCAGAAAGCAAAGCGAGGATCTGGTGAGGATCCAAAAGATATGATCATGAGAGGAGGAGAGAGCTGAGTCCGTGGATATCAGTGAGTCTCCACCTAGGCTACATGGTACCCAGGTGGTTTTTTGTTTTTCAATACTGTTTCTGAGACCTCACCCAGAAATTAAGTCAGAATCTCTGAGCTGTAGGACCTATTATTTTTAACCCAAGTAATACTAATATGCAGCCAGGATTTAAAAACTACTTATTTAAATGACTGACCTTAAATAGTTGCCTAATATTTTCTTAATGTCAAATACTGTCATTTGTAAGTAATCCTTTAGGTAAAAACAATAACCCACTTCTTTCCCAAATTGCTATTTCAACACTAGTCCCCAAATACAAATGTAGCTAATGACTAGAGACCTCTGATCTCCTGTTGTACTTCTGGCTCATACACTCTGTTCCCACCTCACTTGTCCTTCTTGCTGTTTTTTTTTTTTTTTTTTGACACACAGTCCTAGCTTGCTCCAGAGATGTTTGGCTTATCCTCACCCAGGTCTCCAAAAGGCTACTAGCCACCTCCTTTGGGCTCTTAGTCCTGTATTTGAGTCCCGTAGTTTCTTCTGAGGCTCGGTGACAAGGAGAATGGGAGGTTGTCTCACTCCTTGCACTGGAAGGGGGCTACAACCTTTCCTTTTCCTACCTCAGAGGCAAAGGACCCAGCATGGCCACTGGCCAGGGGCAGATGTCTGGTTCAGCAGGTTGGGTCCTCATCCTAGCAGGAAAGCTAATGCGGTTTGGATAGATTGGCATTTGAGCCCTTCACTCACCACTATTGCTTAAGTACCAAAACCAGATCAATAAGGCACATACCCCAACTTTGTACAATTTTCAATAAAACAGGGCATCAAACATATTAGTATTCAATAGAGGTAAATGTTCTCAAGTGGGGGGCTGTACGTGGATGGAAAATGAACTGTTTTTCTCAAAGGCCTAGCGTAGGATTATTTATAAGCCTCAAGGTCTATACTTCCTTGATCATTAATGAATGTTCACTTTGTACAGATGTAAAATTATCCAGTGCTTTGCTGGAATCCCTGGGTGGTGCAAACAGTTAACATGCTTGGCTGCTAACCGAAAGACTGGAGGTTCAAGTCCATTCAGAAGCATCTTGTAAGAAAAGCCTTGCAATCTACTTTGGAAAAATCAGCCACTGAGAAAACAATTTGGAGCGCAGTTCTCCTGTGATGTACATGTGGTGTGGCTATGAATTGGAATGGATTGAATAGCAACCGTGGGATTTTTTTTAGTACTTTGTCATCTATTTCAGCCAAACTGGGCCATGATAATTCATACCATGACTCTGTAATTTGGGGGCAGATACTACAACATATGGTCCTAGAATTGCCTGAAATGTCTTGACATGCCAGTATCATCAGCCAGAGCATTCTAACTGGGTGACTGAGAGACAGATGCCTCCATGCACTCAACTGTTTTATGAGCCACTAACTTTATAAATCTATGGTCCCTACGAATTAAATTCTAACAATTCTAAAAGCCTGTACACAATCTAATTGGTTGAGGGATACCCCAAGCCTGTCTATTCATTTTAGTTAGGTTTCAAATGGCTCATAAGTGACAGATCAACCAACAGCCCTTTTCTCCTATAAAATCCAAGCAGCCTTTGGCAGTTATTACCATGGAAACTAGAGTAGGACAGCTGCAGTGAAGATGACATGGTTTTAAAGTTCTCCCTGCTCCAAATGAAGAGTGTAGACCCTGTGGGCCTGCACAAAACCACCAGTATAGTGGTGTGAAGAGGCAAGGTGTTTTGGAGCCTTGGAAGGCTGTAAGGAGCTCAGGTGGTACAGTACCTAAGGTATTGGACTGCTAACCAGAAAGCTGGCAGTTCGAACCCACCAGCTGCTCCATGGAAGGAAGATGAGGCCATCTGCTTCCTTAAATATTTACCACCTTGGAAACCCAATGGGGGTTGCTACAGGTTAGAATCAACTCAATGGCAGTGGGTTTGGTCTTTTTTTTTTTTTTTAATGGAGGCTGTGGTCTATTTGATTGAAGGAAAAATTGTATAATCATGGGTCAAAATGAAATACTTTATGAATAGACTGTTGTAGGAATTATGTATATATCTCTGATTAGATAAATTCTTAGAACATAAACCTAGGGCAGATTCATGTGCATAATTTGAATGGGGAATCAGCTTTGGTTATAGCCCCTGTACCTCATTTTTTTTTTTTTTTAATTATATAGATATACAGATAGATTCATTTAGGTTAAAAAAAATTCATTAAGCGCTAACTCACCATTCCCTCCTCCCTTTAGTTCCTGATCAGCACTAATCCACCTTCTGTCTCTGCATTTGCCTATTCTGATACTTCATGTAAGTGTGATCATACAATATCTGTCCTTTTGTGTCCGACTTATTTCAGTCAGGATATTTTCAATGTTTATCCACCCATGTTATAACAAGTACAAGAACTTTTTTTCTTTATGGCTCAAAAGTATCCTATTGTATGGATATACTGCTGCTTTTTTGTTTGTTTGTTTCAAATATCTTGCGATGGGCACTTGGGTTGTTTCCACTTATTGGCTGCTATGAATAATGCGGCAATGAACATCATTGTGCATGCATCTGTTTGAGTCTCTGCTTTCAAGTCTTTTGGGTATATACCTAGGAGTGGAATTGCTGGGATATGGTAATTCTATGTTTATCTTTTTGAGGACTCTGTACCCTACTCTTGATTGTATGAGTGGACCATGCCAGTTAGTTAAAAACTAAAAATCTAAAAGTATCAATTCCTAAATAGGACAAAGAAAATGGTAAATGAAATCATTCAGCTTTTCAGAATACTTGAAAAGACAACATTGACACTAAAAGGGAACCTGGTAAGCAATGCAGGAGACCACGTGAGTCAAGGTCAGCCATTCTAAGTATTAAAGACAAAGAATGGGAACCCCCTAAAATGGGCTTCAACCAGTCCTTATCAAGATGGCTGGTACTTGTAATTCTTGTCTTAGTAGCTTTTCCAATGAAGCTGAAAAATAAAAGGACTGGGGGAAAAAAAAAAAAAAGAAAGGAAATCCTTCCAGCTGGAGCTAGGAAAGCTTGCAACTGACTCTTTGAATAACCTCTCCTGAGTTGTTTTGTGAGATGGTCACGGCTAACACATGTATAGAAGAGCCTAGGTCAGTGCTGTCTTGGAGGATTAGAGGCCATGGTCAAAGATGTAGCTTAAATGCCTCTGCTCCACTGGGCTCTTTGCCAGCCCTCTCTGTCTAATGAATTTGAGAGACTTGGCCAGAGCTCCAGATGGCAAGACGAGGCGCTACTGTCACCCACCTATTCCACATACCTGTAGTTCTGCCATTATTTTGTCTCCTTCTTCTTCTTCCTCATCCTCCTCATCCTTTGAGGAGGAGGTAGTGCCTGGGGGTGGGGCTTGAGTCCAGGCAGCTGTAGGCTCCTCAGTTGGACATTTTGTGACTCTAGCCTGTGGGGTCAATCCAGGATCTTCACTGCTTACCTATGGGACATTCAAACCACAGATATTGGCTTAGCACTCCCGAGGTGCTAAGAGTGACAGATCACAAGAACACATGCTCCCTCACAGCCTACTATGTTTTTAAATCTAGCTGGAAGGCTATCTTATCCCTTTGTATTTAGTTTGAGTTTTATTTACACAAGATGTCATTTTGGTGAATAGATTGACAACTAATAATAAAATTGTAACTTCTCAACATTTAGAGCACTTCAGAGAGCCCCTCTGTATTACATTTCCATGGAAATTGTATTTTGCATTTAACATGAAAGACGAAACTTACAAAGTTAAGTGGAAACTAGTGCTCATTTAACATCTTTCTGTATAGACTCCCACAACCGTGCAACCCCATCTTGGTTATCTTTGAAAAACGGTTTTTCTTTTGCTTCCACATCCTACTCCCATTTTTTATCTTATAATGCCCTGCTTGGGAAGGAGTTTGTGATTTGCATTTTATATTGCTGAGTTAAGGTCAAATAAGGATAAAACTCCCGATGTCTAGTCCAATCCAGTAACATTGGCTGACATTTCCCCATCTGTGTGCTTCTGTTATGTCTAGTTTAGTTGATTCTCTCATTTTCTTTTCTGAATCACTATGCATTCCAAAAAGAGCTCTGGTGGTGTAGTGCCTAAGGCATCTGACTGCTAACCACTGGGATGGTGGTTCAAACCCACCAGCCACTCCGTGAAAGGAAGACGGGGCAATCTACTTCTGTAAACCCAATGAGGGTCACTATGAGTCAGAATCTACTTGATGGCAGTGGGTTTGGTGTTTTGTTCTCATGCATTCTAAACAAGAACAGAGAGGTTCTTGTCTGAATCGTCATCTAAGCACAGAGACATTTTCCCAGGGCTTAGCCCATCGGACCTTAGCAGTGGTGCTCTCCTTCCTGCTGGTGTAGACCACATCGCCCGACCTTGTGGTGGTGAGCCCAGATCCTGGAAGGTAGCTCCGCCGTGGGGGTGGGGGCGGAGGAGGTGGGGACTTTCCCCCCAGCTTGTCCAAGTCCTGTTCTGAATTTGGAGAGTCTTCTGGAAAACAGTGTGCCATTAAAATTAATCTCTTTTCAAAATAATGCCAACAAAGTCCAATGTATTTCTATAAACTCAACACAATCTGATTTAAACCAGAAAACTAAACATGGTGATAACAAGTCAATTCTGACTCATAGTGACCCCATGTGTTATGGAGTAGGAATCGATTACCAGTCCATGGTGCTGCTGGGTGGTTTCAAACTGCCAACCTTTCAGTTAGTAGTTGAGTGTAAACCATCTGCACCACCTAGGGGCCCAATCTGACTTAAAAATCTCTCTGTTCCCTCTGGAATATAAGGATTGAGAGTATCATCAACTCTGGGGTCTTGTCTGGATGTAAATTCCAGAGAGACCCTATGCAAGTTACTTAACCTCTCTGTGCCTCAGTTTTCTCATCTGTGAAACAGGGATTATAGTAGCATCCTGTCCACTAGACTGCTGTGAGGAATAAATGGCTTACTATATGGAAAGCATTTAGAACAGTGCTTGGCATATTGGAAATGCTATGCAAATAACAGCTACTATCATTAAATGGATTTCTTGTTAGGCAGGAAAACCGAGTATTACTTGAAGAGATGAAAGGCCAGAGATCTTAAAGTCAAATCTAGAATCTTCTGCATGATCTTGGAAACCTCCATTCCCTGGTCTGAAAAATAATTTTAGGAAGGGGGATAGGTGCAGGAAGGGAACGTCAGAATAAAATAGAAAATAGGACAAAGATGGGAATAAAGAACAAAGCTAAGGAGAAAGTGGATTTTTTGGTCATGTTTATATGGTTGGATAAAAGTTCTTTTCTAATAAAAAGGAGGCAGTGAATGCAGAAATTATAGAATTATGTTTGTGTAGGCACCAAAGGTTAGGAGATGGAAATATCTGCTTACCTATGCCCAGGAAGCAGAAAAAGACTTTGCTTAATCAAAACTCAAACAAGCAGCCTCACTCTTGCCCGCCTTTTATCAGCATTCCTCACTGAGATTCTATCCAAGAGCTCAGAAAAGCAGTAGAACCAGAAGTTGAGGGCCTGGTGCCTCCAGAAGAGCTTTGTCAGGACTCTCTTCAGGGACACGACCAACTCCCAGGGGTATGTTTTTCTTAGAAATCAGGACAGAGTTGTGTCCTGAGGAGATATTTGAGGAGCTTCTACATAGAGTTGTAATGCAGACCTGGGTAAATCATGAGAGTTAAGTGCAAGTAATTATTTGCAGGAGAACAACTCTTGCCTCATGCATGAGAGAGGTGGATTTTAGGATGACAGTGCACCAGAACACACAGCTTGTTCATATGTGACAGGCCTGCCTCCTGGTGGTTGCCTCAGCTTCCTGGGCCCTCTAGGGATTTGTCCAGGCCCATCAGGCTTGGAGTGTGCACAGGACTCTCCTTTGGTGTGTGACTGAGGGTGAAAATCTCCCAAATTCCCCTTTGATTCTCATCTATTTTGATTGTTAGCTGTCTGTCTTCATTATCTAATAGCCAGGCATTTCATACAAAAGAAAACACAAATGGTTTTTAAAACCCCAAGGTTAGAATTTTATCTCATTAGTAAACAAATAAATGAAAACAATGATATACAGAACAAATAAAACAACAGAAAGTGATGTTTATAGGTAATACTAGATACCCTTACACATTGATGGTGACCTGTATATTACTTAGGAGCTCTGGTGGCGTAGTGCCTAAGGCATTTGACTGCTAACCGGAAGGTTGGCAGTTCAAACCCACCAGCCACTTCTCGGAAGGAAGATTGGGCAATCTACTTCTATAGAGATACCACCTCAGAAACCCAAGGAGGGGTCACTATGAGTCAAATCAACTCAACAGCAGTGAGTTTTGTTTTGAGTTTGGTAAATTACTATGAACCCACCACTCCTCTGTAGGAGAAAGACGTGGCAGTCAGCCTTTGTAAAGATTTACAGCCTTGGAAAATCAATCTATGTCCTACAGGGTCACTATAAATTGGAATTGACTCAATGGCAGTAGGTTTGGTTTTGTATGTTACTGGAGAGTCCATGGGTGATGCACATAGTTAATGAGTTTGGTTACTAATGGAAAGGTTGAAGGTTTGAATCTATCACGAGGCACTTGGATGGAAGGTTTGGAAATCTACTTCCAAAAAATCAGCCATTGAAAACCTTACAGAGTATGGTTCTACTCTGACACAGATGGGGTCACCATCAGTTGGAGTTGACCCGATGGCAACTGGTATATTAGTGAAATCTTTATTGTGGGAGAAAAACATTAAGCATGTGTTTAAAAACAAACAAACTGATTTTAAATATGCAAACCAAATTTTGATAAAGACCAGAATTATTGGTTGGATGGAGTCTGGTGGGACCCACAAGACTATAGCCCTGGGATACACTTCAGGCCTGGGAGAGGACTCACTCCCAAGGACTGGCTCTCAGCCCTACAGTAGAACGACTTACATGCGGAATACCCAACCTAGGGTGACAGATCCACCTACTCTATGGAGATACAGAGCAATTGACCATGGGGCACCAGTCACGTGGAGGGAAAGCTGGACAGATAGGAATGCATAACTAAGAAGGGCACAGGGATGTGGCAGTCACAGGGAAGGGAAAGAAGGAGGGTGGATTAGGCTTGGAGATGGCAATGAGGAGTGAAATCAAATGTACATAAACTGTTGAATGTAAAACAAATTCTGCTCTGTAAACTTGCACCCAAAGCACAATTAAAAAAATAAAAATAAATGCAATTAAGAAATATATATATATATATATATTTAATCTGAAAATAATATAAAGCCCAAATGAAGTAAGCTAACCAAATATAATGTTTTTGTTGTACAACCATACGATGTGACAGTTACGAGAACTATATAAAACATTAAGAATAAAATTAAGCAAGATATAAATGTAAGGAAGTAGATAATTCGATCCACCAGAAATTCTCCAGGGGAACTTCAGGAGAGCACAGCTTTCTTTCTCAGAGACCTTCCCTTCATGGGCAGTTGTTACCTGGTCCTCCAGGAATCCTAGAGAGGCTGCCACAGCTGGCAGGTGAGAGCAAGGAAGTAAACAAAGACTTAGGACAGATGAAGGAAGAGTTTTTAGTGAATGGAGCTTTAGAGCAGTTTTGTGGAATGAAAAACTGGGAGGAGAGTATTGCAGTGTTATAAAACATACCCACTTTAATGTTCTTTGAAGTATATGAGTAAAAAATGGCGATTCCTATTAAAATCAAATTTAGTTGCTGAAGTAGTCATCACTGAATGTGACTTTGCAGAGACACTGGGCTGCAAGTAATTTTTTTTTTTTTCTGCATAATTTTAAGATCAGAAAAAAGGCACATGCCTTGTAATTGGTTGGAGATTTAGTAGGCTGAATTTTTAAAGTTATTTTATATTATTATTGACACTGATGCTTAACTTTCATGGTCTACTTGATTAAATATACAGTCTAATAATTTTGATGTAAAAAATGTAATTGTGCCTTATGATCTAATATCCCTCGAGGTCTCATAAAAGCTGGCATTTTATTTCTGTAGCATCTAAAAAGCCCTTGTTTTAAATGCAGGTCTCATCTTCTCCCAGCTGGTACTCTGAAGTGTCATAAAACTCACAGGAAATGCAAAAGCTGGGAATTTAAATCTATTGAGCATTGTTCTAGTCATCCAAAAAGGAATACGGTTTCCCTACTATTATTATAAAGAGTAGAAGTGAGGCTCTACAGAACACAGGGGATTTGCTCTTCTAATCTTTCAATTTTATAGGATTGTTAAGAAGTGAGAAACTGGTCACAGTGACCAGCACATGTTTAACTTGGTGGCAACACGCTGATTCGAGGACGGTCCCCATATTCAACTCAGTAGACATTTGCCATGGGACCACATCTTACCAGAAAGTTCTAACTTATCCACAGGAGTTTCTCCTTTTGGCAGTGAACTTGAGGATGGTGGCATCTCTAGGTTGGGAATGGACTTCATGATATTGGCCTGAGCTTCTTCTAGGAGTTTCTCAAACTCCTTCCCATTGTAGTGGTCCAGATTTTGCCTTTTCTCTTCCCACTTCCTTTCTGCTTTCTGAAGGAAAATAGGAAGTGAAGAAAGTTTAAAAACCAGAAGGGAAAATTAATAATTTAGAGAGTTCATACAGGTGGGGGAGGGTGAGTTAAAATGTTGGTAAAATAATGCCCTGGTTTCTGTTTTTCACCTCAGATGATCTTTGCCACGTCCAGGCTACTTAACTCTTCTGCCATCTGCCATTTCTTCTGTAACTAAATGGGCTGCCACATGAGCCCAAGTGATATTTATGCAGAAAGCAGCAAGCTCGAAAACATAAATTCATTCATTAAATTACTACTGAGCACTTACTACATACCTCTAATGTTAAAGAAAGAGGGACACGGAAATATATTTTCACACATATATATGCTACTACCAATTTTTTGTTTCCTAAATTGAGTTTTCAACATAGACAATATGTTCAAACAAATAAGAAAAAAAAAAAGAAAAGAAAAAGAAACTGTCTAGGAAAATAAAGAATTCTATGTTTTAGTTTCACTTTCATCAAAGGTTTGCTATACAACCTCGTGGTCCAAATTTTCACTTATGAAATGAGAAGTTGGTTAAATGACCTGTAAGCACCATCATACTAGGAAAATATACATAAAATACATAAAATGGATGTTTAAATATCTGTACATTTTTAAAAGAAGATTTCCCTGTGATTCCCTGTGATCTTATCAAGTGCACATCAGTCAGTATCGGAAAGGAGACATTGTATATGTCTTGTGACCTTGTTAAGTATCATCATGTGGTAGCCAACTCGATGAGATCCCATGCATAACAGAATGAAACGCTGCCAGTTCTATATCGCCCTGACATTCGCCTGATGACCCCTTTTACAGGTGAGCAGGTTGAGGCCTAGAGAAGTGAGGGATTTGTTTAAGATTCCTTCTGTATCAATAGCATCCGCCCCCTTCACCATTCTTAGCTCCCTTTAATTTTTCCCCATAGTATTTATTGTCACCTGGCATATATTTCTTTTGGGTCTCTTCTGACCAGTAGGCAAGTTTCTTGAGGGCATGGACTTTGTCTCTCTTGTTCACTGCCTATGCCCCAGGCCTATGAGTTTGGCACATAGCAGGGGCTCAGTGATAGTTGCTGAGTCAGTGATACTCACTCAAATAGTCGGTGGCAGAGCTGAGAGCAAGATCCAATTCCCTTGACTTACACATCAAACCATTTTCAGAGATGACTCATAATCTCCCTTCAAGACTTAAAATACATATACAACCATGCCCAAAACAAAATGAAAAATCCACTGCTGTTGAGTCAATACTTACTCACAGTGACCGCCACTGGGTTTCCGAGGTGGTAAATCTTTATGGAAGTAGATTGTCTAGTCTTGGTTCTGTGGAGTGGCTGGTGGGTTTGAACCACCAACCTTCTGGTTAGCAGTCAGATGTCTTAGGCAGTGTGCTACCAGAGCTGCTTGCAACCATGCCCAGAGGGTGCTTAATAAAATATTTGTTAAATAAATGAGTCATCATAATGACATCCCTTAAACATCAAGATGAAAGGAGCCGATTCACTAATTCTCAGGAGGAAATGTGTTTTCAGGCCTCTCCCTTACTTTGCCCACCAAGCACTGGTGACAGAACCATATTCATCCTATCATATTTCCAGCCCCTGCAGTGGCATGCATTTTTTGAAATAGCTGACTCAGATCAGAGGCATAGTTACTGACCTTGGAACAGAGAGAAGCTACCTAGTGTTCATAGCCTAATACCATGAATTTGGTTTTAGCAAGAGGTCAACTAAACATGTCCAACCTGAGTTTCCAGACAGGCTGGAAAGTTAGGAACTAGGTTTCTGGGGAGAGAGATCAATGAATGGAAGATAAGTTTTGGGAAGAGAGCTAGGAAAGCATATTGTGTTATTTAAATATTGATACCAACCCTTAACAAACAAAAAACAAACCAAATGCACTGCCATGGAGTTGATACCGACTCATAGAGACCCCTGTTAAGTTTCCAAGGCTGTAAATCTTTATGTAAGCAAACTGCATCATCTTCCTTCCATGGAGCAGCCAGTGGGTTCAAAGCACTCACTTTTTGGTTAGCAGCCATATGCTTTAACCACTGGAACACCAGAGCTCCTTACTATTGATGTTTAAATATTTAAAAACATAACCTGATTATTCTATGTGTTGTATGATCTTATGATCTCATTTTCTCTTTCCACTTTGACTGCCTCGGTCTGTTACTCTTAGACTACTCTATTAACTTCCTTTCCTTCCAGACCTCAATCAACTCTGTATATGTTTCCAGCTCAACTTCTTGAAGACGTCATTTTTATCACTGGTCAAAAGCGACAGCATTTCTTTGATACCTACAAAATACACTTTAGACATCCTGGATTGGAATTCAATCTCGCCCAAATCAGTTTCCAGAGTATATTTTTCCAGCCTTATCTCCCCTTTTTTGTTTTAGTTAAACAGGATTACTACTGGTCACAGATATTTCCCCTAGCACACCTCTATCCTAGGATGCCCTCACACACTTCTCCCCATATCTACTCATCTTTCATGATCAGCAGCAAGTGGCAAACCCTCATATTGAGCACATCACTGATGTCCTGAAGGTGGCTCACACTGGTTCGGGAGAGCTGATGGCCACATTTATTCCCCAAACCACACTCAGTGGAGTCATAAAAAACCAAACTCAGTGCTGTCGAGTCAGATCTGACTCATAGAGACCCCTCCTTGGGTTTCTGAGGCAATGTCACTTCCTTCCAAGGAGTGGCTGGTGGGTTTGAACCTCCAGCCTTCTGGTTAGCCTTAGGCACTGCAACACCAGAGCTCCCAGTGGTGTCATACCATAGCTCAAAATTGGTCACGGAGGGAGTATTTACAACGTGAAAAGTGGTAAATGCTACAAATCAGGACTTTCCCCCCTAGTGAGCCAAATGAATGTTTACCAGCACACCACTGCCTTACCTTCCTGCAGGGTAAGGGTGTGCACCCTTCTCTGAAATACCATCTACATACCTTTTTCCTAATCTGGCCATTGAAACCCATTGGTATGTGGTGGTTAGGAGGCCTCAAGTCAGCCCATAGCTCATGGTGATCCCACAGACTGATCCATCGATTGTTCACTGGCTGAGTTTTGGAAGTAGATGGTCATGGCTTTCTTCCTAATCTCAGTCTGGAAACTCCACTGAAACCTGTTCAGCATCTCACACAACACTGAAGCCTCCACTGACAGGTGGGGGTGGTGCAGGAGGTGCACTGGCCAGGAATGGAACCCAGGTCTCCCACATGTCAAATTCTACCATTGAGCCAACACTGTTCATTGAAAACCATTTATAGTTTTAAAAATCTGCCTTTTGATACATATATGGATTATCTCTACAACTAAATTGTAAACTCCTCGAAGGATCACATGTTGCACTCTTTTATGGGGTTGAAAGATAAAGAAATAGGACTTTACCTCAATAGACATGGCCCTGTTCTTGGCACTTGCACTGTGGATTTCCTCAATGAACAAGCTCTGCATGGTGGAACCATTCATGGGCATCTGTGGTGACTGAGGGGCTTGCTGCAGAGCAGAGGCCACTTCTTGTGGGACAGCTGGAGGGCTGGCTGGGTGAGGTACTGGTCCCCCAGGCAAGTTCTGGGTGTGGGTGAGCAGGGAAGAGGAGTGCTGAGAGGACTGGATGACGACAGGTGAGCTCTGTGCATGGTGCACCGTCAACACCTCTGACTTGACATCGCCAGGGACTCCTGTGCCATGGAGAGGCTGGCCTGTGGCGTGGGGGCCCTCCTCCTGGTTCCTCAGGACTTCTGCAGCAGTGGCCTTTTCCATTGCGACATACTGTGCAGCTTGGGCTGCATCTGCGCCCTTCAGGAGCCCATCAGTGACATGTCTAAGGGGAAACAGGCACAGTAGCATTAACTATTAAAATACACAACCCCCGTTTTACTACTGTGGCATACTTGAATGCTATGTCATCCCAAAGCCAGGCAAGATTTTGCTTCAAAATTAAGACATTCTAAAACACTCAGAGTAGCAGCTCAGGTTTGAGGGTTTCCATGGCAACTTCCTAAAGCCCTTGCATTGTCTCCATGATATCTCTGACAGCTACTTTTTCAGTCCTTTTTGAAGGAGATGGTCTGTTTTTCCCTTTTTCACTGTGCTGTTGGGCATAGGCTGGCACGATTCTCTCTTTGGGTAGTGGTGTATAGTAGTTAAGGTTGTGTGTCAACTTAACTGGACCTGGTCTTGAGTGGCTGGGTAGCTGGATGTAGTGATTCCCCATGAGACTGGTAATCAACTCCATGGGGAAATCTGCTTAGTGCAGCTGAGTAGCTGTCTTAGGGATGTGGTCTGCTTCCAGTGTATAAGGAGAAGCTTTGAGAAAGGTCTTTTTTTTTAAAAAAAAAAAATTTCTATTGTGATTTGAGTGAAAGTTTACAGAGCAAATTCATTTTCCATATAGTTCACATATATTTTGCCTCATGATATTGACTGCAATTTCCCACAATGCAACAGCTCTTCCCACTTCCTCCCTGTAGTTACCTCTTCCGGTGTCCTTTTATCCCATGCATTCCTGCCCCCTGGGCTGTCTCTTGTGCATACATAGCCCTTCTAGTCTCCCATGATTGATCTGTCCAAGAAGTGTATCTACCTAATGTAAATGTTCAGCTCATATGCCTGTCTTTTGTTTGGCTGGAAGCCACTGGAGTCGTTCAATTTCAGACCTGAAGGGCAGCTAGGGGCTATCTCAGGGGTTCTACAAGGCTCTATCAGACCAACAAACCTGTTTTTTTTTTCTTTTAATATGATTTTTGAGTTTTGTTTCACATTGCTCTCCCATTCTATCCAGGATTTCCTACATAGATCCCTCTCTGAGTGGTTGACAGTGGTAGTAGCCGGGCACCATGTAGTTCTTCTGGTCTCATAGTCATATAGGCTGAGGATCCCATGGTGTACCAGATGCTTGGACTAATTGTTTCCATGAATCTTTGGTTTTCTTCATTCTTCTTTGCTCTGGACAAGGAGAGACCCTTGTTGCATCTAGATGGCTGCTTGCAAGCGTTTAAGACCCCAGTCACTACTCACCAAAGTAGGATGTGTAACAATGTTTTTGTGTAGTGTTATGCCAATTGAGCTTGATGTCCCCTGCGACTATGGTCCCAAGTCTACAGGTCCAGCTACTTGCTCCTTCCACATAGCTGGGTGTGGCCAAGAAGTAACTAGAACCTTGTCCCTTGTTAGCTCTACTATATACCTGGAAATTCTTATAGTACATACAAATACACTTGTAGAAACATTGTCTGCCAAACCTGTACATGGTCTTGGGCACACTCCTCCCTACACAGGCATACCTAATACTTCAGCTTGTCTACCCATCTATCTACTGGTAGATAAATGATTGCCATCATTGACAATGCAGGGTTCATCATTGTTTTCTGTACCCCCCATGCACCTCTCTACGTCTTCCTCTTACTCACTGCCACCATGTTGATCACTCACATTTGGTACATTGCCCTTCCCTTCACCCAAATCAACACTTACCCTGCCTTTCTGGCAGTGTTCCCTCCTCTCCCCTCCCACTCCTGGTTTCCAACAAAGAAAATTTCTTTCCATATATAAACCTTCCTTGATTTTTTTTTTAATAATAATGGAATAATACAGTATTTGTCCTTCTGTGATTGTTTATTTCACTCAGCATAATGTCCTCCAAGTTCATCCACGTTATGTGGTGTTTTGCAGATTCTATGTTATTCTTTAGGGTTGCATAGTATTCCATTGTATGTATGTACCAGAATTTGGTTATCTGTTATTCTGTTGATGGGCACCTACATGGTTTCCATTTTTTTGCTATTCCAAATAGTGCTGATGAACATGGATGTGTGCATGAATCTGCTCTTGTCCTATATCTAACTTTCAAGAAAGGTCTTGAGCTTTTTGGCATGCTTGGACTCTGCATTTAGCTGAGTTTTCATTCAGCAGCCTGCCATGTTGCCTGCCAATCTTGAGCCTGCTTCTGGACTTGAATGTCCTGCTGTGTGGTTTGGCAATATCTGGACTGTACTATTGTTGTTCTTGGGTTCCTTAGCCTCAGCTGCCAGCAGCTGCCTGAGTTAAGAGAAGCCTCCAGCTCCAGTGGGCCTGCAGCAAGAGGCAGAGCAGAAGCCCAAGATTGAGAGGCCTTCACCAAGCCCCTGGAGCTGGCACTTTGAACTCAGACTTCTTGCCTCCTAAACTGTAAGAGAGCAAATCCCTGTTTGTTAATGCCATCCATTTGTGGTATTTATGCTATGGCAGCACTAGAGACAAAAAGTAGATGATATTATTTTAACATCACTTTCTTACTCTTCCACTTGTTCCCGACCTGTATGGCCTTCACACATACTCAGTTCTAATTTTAAAAGCTTCCTTCCTGAAAAAACAAACAAGTTGTTGTTGAGTCAATTCCAGCTCACAACAACCCAATGTGTGTCAGAGTAGAGCTGTGTGCTGCTCCATAGGATTTTCAATGGCTTTTTTTTTTTTTTTAATTTTTATTGTGATTTTGGTGGTTTACAGAGCAAATTCATTTTCTATACAGCAGCCCACAAATACTGTCTCATAACATTGACCACATTTCGCACAATGTAACAGCTTCCTCCCCACAGTTACCTCTTCCCTATGTCCTTCCCTCCCATGCACGCCTGCCCTCTGAGCTGTCTCTGTGCATACACAGCCCTTCTATTCTCCCATGATTGATCTCTCCAAGGAGTGTATATCTACCTAATGTAAATGTTCAGCTCATATGCTTGTCTTTTGTTTGGCTAGAAGCCACTGCAGTGGGTTCAATTCCAGACCTGAAGGGCAGCTAGGGTCCACAGTCTCAGTGGTTCCATCAGGCTCTATCAGACAAGCCAATCTGGTCCTTTTTTTTTTGTTTGTTTTAATGCATTTGAGTATTGGAGTTTTGTTCCACATTGTTCTCCCATTCTATCCAGGATCTCCTATATAGATCCCCCTCTAAGTGGTTGACAGTGGTAGCTGGGCACCATCTAGTTCTTCTGGTCTCATAGTTGTATAGGCTGGGGTACCAGTCCCTTGGACTAATTGTTTCCATGTGTCTTTGGTTTTCTTCATTCTTCTTTGCTCTGGATGAAAAGAGACCCATCATTGCATCTAGATGGTTGCTTGCAAGCTTTTAAGATCCTAGTCACTACTCGCCTAAGTAGGATGTGGAACAGTGTTTTTGTGTAGTATGTTGAACAATGTTTTTGTATAGGATGTTATGTCAATGGCTGAGTTTTTGAAAGTAGATTGCCAGGCCTTTCTTCCAAGGCACCTTCGGGTGAACTCAAACATCCACTTTTAGTTAGCAGCCAATCGTGTTACCCATTTACAACACCCAGTGAGTCCAAAGGTTCTGTAAACCCTCCATACTCCTCCTTTCGCTGCCAAACACCTAACTTACTGCCATTGAGTCAATTCTGACTCACAGCAACCCTACAGGACAGAGTAGAACTTCCCCATAGTGTTCCCAAGACTGTAAATCTTTATGAAAGCAGACTGCGTCATCTTTCTCCCATGGAACAGTTGGTGGGTTCCAACTGCCAACCTTTTCATTAGCTGCCAGGTGATTTAACCACTATGCCACCAGAACTCCAGGCAGCAAATCTTTATGGAAGCAGACTGCCTCATCTTTCTCCTGCAGAGTGGCTGGTGAGTTCAAACTGCTGCCCTTTTGTTTCTCAGCTGAATGCTTTAACCACTGCAGTACCAGAGCTCATTTAAAAAAAAAACAAAAAAACAACCTCACTGCCATTGAATCAGTTCTGACTCATAGTGACCCCCTTTGGGTTTCCAAGGTAGTAAATCTTTACGGAAGTAGATTGCCCAGTCTTCCTTCTGTGGAGTGGCTGGTGGTTTGGACTGTCAACCTTCTGGTGAGCAGTCAGATGCCTTAGGCATTAGGCCACCAGAGCTCCTTAGAGCTCATATAGTGACTTCCAAATCTAACAACAGTTTTTAGTCCTCATACTCTGCTGCTTATTAGAGGCACGTGATGCTCTTTGTCTATCCATGGTTTGGTGGAAAAGGCAGCTCTTTGGCACAGACAGACCTGTGTTTAATGCCAGCTCTACCATGTTCTAAACCAAAAAAATCCAAACTCACTACCATGCAGTTGGATCCGACTCATAATGACCCCTCCTTGGGTTTCCGAGGCGATATTACTATGGAAGTAGATTGTACAACCTTCCTTCCAAGGAGTGGCTGGTGGGTTTGAACTGCCAGTCTTCTGGTTAGCAGTCAAGTGCCTTAGGCACTGTGCCACCAGAGCTCCCCTACCATGTTCTAGCTATATTATTGGGGAAATCACTGCACTATTTTGAGTGCCAGATAATTTTCTGTAAAATGTAATAATGACAATGACAATAATGCCTTCCTCAGGGACTGCTGTTATAATTAAGGCTGTGAAGTAACAATATGTTAAACAGTGTTAAGCACAACACTTGACCCATAATTTTAATTAGGTCCTATCCCTGTCTCTTTATTCCTTTCTTACTAAAATGATCTTTGATTTAATGAAAAGTACTACATACTATGTTTCTCCTCTGCTACTCACTTCTTTATTTTGCTGTGTACCTACTTTATGGAGCTCTGGTGGCACAGGGCCTAAGGCATTTGACTGCTAACCAAACGATTGATGATTCAAACCCAGGAAGATGGAGCAATCTACTTTGGTAAAGCTTTGCCATCTTAGAAACCCAATGGGGGTTGCTATGAGTCAGAATTGACTCAATGGCAGTGAGGTTTTTTTTTTTTTTTTTAATCTACTCTTGCCTCTTAAATACAAGCATTTCCCAAGGATTTATTTTCTCCTTTCCTTTCATCCTAATCTCTTCCTTGCCCATCTTCTCCTTTCCCAATAATTGTTTCAATGTAGGTGACTTCAATTCTGACTTCTTTCTTGCTCCCTTCTCCTCTTCCTCACTCTCTCCCTCCCTGACACTGAGTTAGTGAGGTTCTCTTGAAGTTCACTTTATATTTCTAAGTGCCCAGTGGGCAGCTAAGGTGAGAGATCCCTCCAGCATATGAAATTCAACATGAACCAAACCACTTTGGTATCCCAGGCCCCTAATTCAGCTCTGAACTTGACTGGCAACTTGCTTTATCTTTCCTGCTGTGCTGTACGTTCCTTCTTGTTGTGTGCTGTTGAGTTGGCTCCAACTCATAGCAACACTACAGGGCAAAGGAGAACTGCCTGATAGAGTTTCTTCTGGTAGCATAGTGCCTAAGGTACTTGACTGTTAACCAGAAGGCTGGCAGTTCAAACCCACCAGCCACTCCTTGGAAGGAAGGTTGGGCAATCTACTTCTGTAGTGATACTGCTCTGGTCACTATGAGTCAGGTCTGACTCGACAGCACATAACAACAACAATCTTTACAGGAGCAGATCATCACGTCTTTTCTCCTGTGGAGCTGTTGGGTGGGTTAGAACCACCCACCTTTCACTTAGCAGTTGACTTGGGAGCATGCTTATTCCCTCCCTCACTCCTTCATCTACTATGGTGCCCAGGGAGAGTCAGTTATATGCAAAAGTTACTAAGAGAAAAATAATTAGTATAAAGGCTTGTGATGTGAAACGTAATGGCAGATAAAAATTCTTTATATTTATTTTTAAAGTTATTTAACTGGATTTATGTATCATTCTCACCACTGAGGACTTATGGACCAGCCCCCCCCCCCCAAAAAAAAAACAACCTAACATTCAACATACACAATCCTATGTTTTTTAGGAACTTGTATTCTCGGGAGATAAGAAAAATATCAAGCTTCATCTTTCTGTGCTGGCTCTAAACCTTTCTCTTGTTTTTCAGAGAAGAGAAGGGAGCATAGGGCAGTTTTACCTGCCAGACTACTACTTCTTTGTATCTAATAAGGGTGTTGCTTTAGGGATGGGTTATCACATTTGGCTAAGAGCTTAGTGACAAATACTTTTATCAGATTTTTATCCCTGGGGTGGGGGTGGGGAGTTGACATTGGCAATTTTAAGTGAGTGAATTAATCCGAAAATTTAACCCAGGAACCATTTCTTCCTCTACTCAGTCAGTTATGGATTATTAAGGAGGAAAAATTTGGGTCATCTCTGAAGTGAAGGAGGCTAATAACATTTTTTGATTCATTCAACTTCAAAATTATATATGTACATACGTACATACACACACACACACACATTAAACAACAAAAAACCCAAACCCACTGCCACTGAGTCAATTCCAACTCAGAGTGACCTCCCTTGGGTTTCCAAGGCAGTAAATATTTACGGAAGTAGATTGCCCCATCTTCCTTTCATGGAGCAACTGATGGGTTTGAACCACCAATCTTCTGGTTAGTAGTCAAATGCTTCAGGCACTACACCACCAGAGATCGTTCAAAATATATATTCGCCAAAAACAAAACACACCTTAAGATGACCATTTAAAAATGTTTACTAATTTTAAGCCTTAGGATGTGCCAACTGCAGCAAGCCTGTGCTAAGGAATTAAAACCTCAATTCATACTGATAGCTCAAGAGTGGGAAGGAGTCAAAGCTTCTCCTCAGGGCACGAGAAGTGAGAGGTGATGAGTCATGAGCACAGAATCAGGTCCCAGGAGCATGGAACCCCAATCTCCCAGCACAACCCTTCCACAGATTGCCCCTGGCCTCTCAGGAAGCCTGGTCACCTCCGCAACATGGTCAGGACATCGGTCATGCTTCGCACTCTCTTCAGGAGACTGTCCAGCTTATGTGGCTCCTCTTTCAGGAATCGCACGGCCTCTACCTCGATGCGGAGGATGGCACGCATCTTGTTCTGTAAGGTTGGAAATTCTCCTGCAGGTCAAAACCAGCTGGTTAATTCAAGCGGAAAATGCCAGAGCAGCAACCCTCCACCATCATTAACTAGGTAAGGCTGAGAAGTACAGGGTTTGTTAAGCCACAGTGAGGGTCACTCATTTTCAGGAGACAGTGAGTTAAGAACAAAGAAGAGCATCAGAGCTGGGTTCAAAGTGACCTTAGGCAAGGTAACAGCTCCTCTAGGCCTCATTTCCTATCTGTACATCTTGGGTAAGGTCAGTTGTCTCTTATGGTTGTTTTTAATGAGTTTGGCACAATTGTCCTGGAATATTGTGTCTAACAAGTAGAAACTGTTTTTATTACTTAGTTCTAAGTCATATGGCAACCAAGAAGTCTCCCCAAGAGGACAGGGTGTTTAGCTGTTTTGTTCAGTGATGTATCTCAAGTGCCTAAAACAGTGTCTGGCACATGGTAGATGCTGAATGAATGAATTATTCCTTCATAATTTGATAGGTTTTTAAACACCCCAAGAAAGGAAATGCATGTTATGCTTGCCCTCTCCAGCTAGAAGCTCACCTTTCAGTGTAGCTACAGCTTCTCCCACTTGTCGCAGAAGAAATGCCCCATCTTCCACATCTTTTAAAGTAACCATTCGGCCAGCTGATGCAGAGTCCTTCTTCAAGTCTTCAACAAAGCCTTCCAATTCGCTGTAGGGAGCAAGCAGACCAGAAGATGGAAATGAGCAGTAAGGCCCTCAACAAGGGCAGGTTTAGTAGCAAAAGAGCTAATGAGGTTGAAGCCTCCCATTTCATATTTTGTCCCAGCCCTTTCCTCTAGCCTTTCACTTAGATGATAGGAGCTCATCTTTAAAGTTGTAATTTGATTGGGTTTAAATACTTTACTGAGGTAGAAGGCAGGTATGAGGAAATTTTGCCAAGACCCGGGGGAAGGCCCTGACATTACCTAGATGGATGATCCTGGCTCGCTGATAAAAGGCCCACTCTTCATTTTCAATGGGGCCAGTGGCAGCTAAGGGAGGGGTGTGTGTATTTTGTGATACGAATGGGGAGAATGGGAGAATGAGCGAGCTATGGTGGAACAAAATGAGACATCTGAGTTGCTTTGTTATCAGGTTTTACAACCTCAGCACTATTGATGTTTTGGGCTAGATAATTCTTTGTTGTGGAGGCTGTACTATGCATGGTAGGATGTTAGCAGCATCCCAGGTCTAGATGCCAGTAGCATGTCCTGTAACTTGTGACAGTGAAATATCTCCAGACATTACCAAATGTCCCTGGGGGAGGGAGGCAAAATTGCCCCTGAGTGAGAACTTCTGGTTTATACTGATTGTTCTATCATCACTGATTGACAGCTTTCCTCTCTAAGACTCAAAGACAAGAAATGATCACAACCATGCTTTCTGGTGTGTGTAAGTGTGTGTCACAAACACACACAGCCTTAGGGCATGCCAGCTCCAGTAGAGCTAAATTAAGATTTTCCATTTTAATTAAAAACAAACAACAACATCAAAAACATCCTGCCTCCTGGGCACATTAATAACCTGATCCTACCTACATCTTTGTATTTTGTCTGCCAGTACATCCCAACAATAGAAAACCAGCTTTCAAATAAATAAAGGAAATGAACAGCCACTAGGTGGCAGTAAATGAACAGCAAGTCCACCTTTCAGAGCCATGCGTGTGGAGCAGTGAGCAGATGGAGATAGAGGAAGGTATGAGGAATCTGTGAAAAGATGGCCCACAAAGGTCTGTTCCACTAAGTAAGCAAATGGTCGGACTCTCTTAGCAGCTGCGGGTGGATTCAGGCAGACTACACATAGTTTCACATACACAACATGAACAGGGGGAAGTTACAAATTTTTCCGAGAACCAGGATGGCATTTTTGGTAATGTACCTTATTTCTGTTATAGAAAATGGACCAAAATTACCTATGTCTACTTCAGATGACAGGAAGCCTCAGTTGCTCATGTTCCACATTCATAAACTATGGGAAGGTACCCAGGGTTAAGTGAACACACTCAGAGGAAACTTCCTACAGCAACTGTTCCTTGAGGTAGAGAGAATGTGTGCTGTCTGTCATAAGAACTCTGAATATAGGACCATTGTGTGGAAATGTTCTTTTCTATGTCATAGCCAAACAAATTGTTGAAATGGGTTGACTGGACATACTGGCGGGTCCTTTAAAGCTTTGATTGAAGAGCTAAGACCCAAATGCTATAATGATTATATTAACAACCACAAACAAGCCTAACAATGTGCAATTAATATTCCAAGGAGCTATCATTTGATTCAAAGTCTATCCTTTGCCTAAAATCCTATTTTAATCTCTTCTACACAATGTGTCTCTTGGATTTCATAACTGCTCACAAGAGATCCATAAACTTCATAGCTTTTCCTTTGCTGATCTTGGAACATACAAAAATGTATACTGATGTTATTGTACATAACAATGGTACTTCAATGCTTCACCTATAAGTCTCACCTATAAGTATCATAGACATAGAAGTCAAAGACAAAATTTGTTCTTTTAAATTGTAAAAGAGAAAATGGAGCTAAAATGAATGCTGAAAAAAACTATTAGAGCAATCAATCGGACTTTTAAGATGGAAACCTTGCTCATCATCATCAGAATGTAAGGTGTTTACAGAAGCTATGGTTTATAGGAAATGTATTTTATTGGTTTAAATTGCTTTTCATTCTACCTTAGTTCTCCCCCCTCCCCCACAGTCCCTGGGTAGTGCAAACTATTTACATGCTTGGCTGCTAACTGTAAAGTTGGTGCTTTGAGTCCACTGAGAGGTGCCTTGGCAGAAAGGCCTGGGAAAAAAGTCAGCCATTGAAAGCCCCATGGAGCACAGTTCAACCCTGACACAACGGGGGCTGCCATGAGTCAGAACTGACTTGACAACAACTGGTTTGGTTTTTTTGGTTTTTAGAAAAGCAGCAGCAAATAGTTTGCTAAAATAGATTTCACCTGACTGATAATAAAAGTCTACGTAACTTCTGTTTAGAAATTTATCAAAGAAAAATTAGCTTGACCCAAATTCTTTTGTTTCCCCTCATTTCTTTTTCATTTTTTTTTTTTTTGTGTGTGAATTAGGTGAAAGCTTACAAAGCACATTTGTTTTCCAATCAATAGTTAATATACATTTTGTTTCATAACATTGACTGCAATCCACATAATGTAAGCTTTCTTCTGACTTTCTACCTGTGGTTACCTTTTCTGTGTGTCCTTTCCTTATGCATTCCTGCCCTCTGAGCTATCTATCTGTGCAGATGCTACCCCTCTGATCTCTATGGTTGATTTTTCTCAGGAATGTACCTACTTGGTATAATTGTGCACCTTGTAGACTTCTCTATTGTTTGGCTGGAGGCACGGGAGTGAGTTCAATTCCAAGCCTGAAGGGTGACTAGGGGTCATAGTCTCGGGGTTTCAGCAGGGTCTATGAGCCCAGCAAGCCTGATCTTTTTTGTGATTTTGAGTTTTGTTCCACAATTTTCTCCCCCCCTCTATCCAGCATCTCCTACACCGATTCCTTTCTGAGTGGTTGACAGTGGTACCCAGGCATGATCTAGTTCTCCTGGGCTCAGGTTCATGTAGGCTGAGGTTTACATGGTCCACTAATTCCTTGGACCAATTGCTTTCATGTGTCTTCAATTTTCTTCATTCTTCTTTGCTCCAGATAAGGAGAGACCAATTGTTAAGACCCCAGTAGTGCTATTCACCAAAGCAGGATGCAATGCAATGCTTCTGTGTAGTATGTCATGGCAACAGAGCTTGATGTCCCCACACAACCACAGTCCTGAGTCCATGGGCCCAGTGACTCATTCCTTCAAGGTGTTTGACTGTGGCTAAGAAGCTACCACTACTCTGCCTCCTTAGCTTCACTATACATATGGACATTCTTACAGCACAAACAAATAAGTATGCAAAAATATCATCTGTCATATATATATGGTCATGGTTATATTCTTTTGCCTACCCATACCTGATCATTTAGCATGTCTACCTACGTATGCACCTATAGATTAATGTTTGTTATTACTGATAATGCAGTATTGTGTATGAAAGAGTGTTTACCTTTGTTGTCTTGATCTCTTGTGCACCTCTGTGTCTTCCTTTTCCTTAGTGTTAATGAGCTGGTCACTCAGTTTCAGTATATTGCCCTTCCTTTCGCACAAGTCAATACTTGTCTCTTACCTATCTGACAATTTTCCCTCCCTTCCCCAGTAAGCAACAAAGAAAGCTTCCTTCCACATGTAAACCTTTACTTGACTTTTTACAATAGTGGAATCAGACAATATTTGTCCTTATGTGATTGATTTCATTCAGCATAATGTCCTCCAAGTTGATCCATGTTATGAGGTGTTTCATAGATTCTACGTTTTTCTTTAGTATTGCATAGTATTCCATTGTGTGTATGTACCATAATTTGGTTATTTATTCAGCCATTGATGGGCACTTAGGTTGTTTCCATCTCTTTGCTCTTGTGAATAGTGCTGCAATGAATGTGGGTGTGCATCTATTCATGTTCTGGTTCTCACTTCTTTAGGACATATACCTAGTAATGGGATGGCTAAGTCAAATGGATATCTAATTCCAGCTTTTTAAGGAATCGCCATACTGCTTTCCACAGTGATTATATCATTTGACAGTCCCACCTACAGTGCATGAGAGTCTCAATCTCTCTGCATCCTCACCAGCATTTGTCATTTTCTGTCTTGCTGAACTTTGCTATTAGTGCTGGGGCAAGATGGCATCTCTTTGTTTTGATTTGCATCTCTCTAATGGCTAATGAGGAGCTCTGATAGCATAGTGCCTAAGGCACTGGACTACTAACCAGAAGGCTGGCGGTTCAAACCCACCAGCCACTCCTTGGAAGGAAGGTTGGGCAATCTACTTCTGTTGTGATACAGTCTTGGAAACCCAAGGAGGGGTCGCTATGATAGCACATAACAACACAATGGCTAATGATCACGAGCATTTCTTCACATATTTGTTGGCTACCTGAAATCTTCCTTGGTGAAGTGTCTGTTCAGGTCTTCTCATTTTTTAATTGGATTTTTGTCTTTTTGATGTTGAGGTGTTTGAGTTTTCATTTTAGAGATAAGTCCCTTGTCAGATATATCATTGCCAAATACTTTTTCTCAATTTGTAAGTTTTCTTTTTTAATTTAATTTTTAGAAAGTCCCAATCATCTAATTTATCTTCTCCTGTTGGTGCATTTTTAGTTATCTTTGATAGTCTATTTATGCCATATATTAGGGCCCCTATGTTTTCCCCTATTTTTCCTTTGATGAACTTTATACTTTAAGGTTTCACACTTAAGTCTTTGATCCATCTTGAGTTAGTTTTTATATATGATGTGAGGTATGGATCTTGTTTGATTTTTCTGCAAATGGATATCCAGTTTTGCTAGCACCACTTGTTAAAGAGACTGCCTCTTTCCCATTTAATGGACTGACCCATTTGTCTCCAGTTTCGATCCAAATTTCAACTCTCTGCCATTTGAATTGATCATCAACAATTTAACTGAACATGCCACCAGAGAACTTATTTTCCATTGTGTGTTTATATGTGACACTTACACAACATTGTTCACCTAATCTTCCAGAGTTTGAAAACTTTCCACTTTCCATGTGTTTTTTATAATTGACTCTTTCTTGCCACCCTGATGCATCCAACCAGTTAACCTATGTAATTATATCTTCTCAGTGTATTTTGCATTTGATTTCTTTTCCCATTCCTATTTCTACTGCTTGGTTCAGGCTTTATTGCCTTTGACTTGGACCATTACAGTAGCTTCCAATATGGTTTCCAGACACCAATTTCTTTGACACTCATTCAGTCCTGTACGTGGTTGCCAGAGTAAATTTCCTCAAATACAGCTCTGATGTGACTTCCTCATCTAACTGGGCAAAAACTCTCAAATGTGAATGTACTTCAGAATTAGAATTACTCATGTGGTTTTATAAAATGCACATTCTTAAGCTCCATCAAGGGAAATTCTAGTCATCCAAGGCCCAAGTATAGTACTGTATATGAAGGTACTATGGAAATGAGAATGGGACAACTCAATCCCAAGATGATGATAGCATTCTTATACCCAACCCAATCCTGGCCGACCAGGCGTACCCCTAAGATTCTGAGGATGCCCTGTACTTTTCTTAGGCAGAGTTGTTGGTTTGCAAGGTTACTTTGCTAGGAGGCCTTTCTTCCCCAACCTTCACTGATAAAATCCCACCATCTTCAAGGCCAATTCAATTCAGTCTAACCAAACCACTTTTGAGACTCTATTATGTACCTGGTACTGTGGTTGATATATAGGGCATATGAAGAATAACTTATTTAACGTTAAGCCTTCCTGACTCCTGAGGTCAGAAGTAATGTATTCTTTGTGAAGTTGCACCAAAAAAAAAAAAAAGTTGCTATCGAGTTGACTCTGACTCATGACAACATAATGTGTGTCAGAATGGAACTGTGCTCCATAGTGTTTTCAAAGGCTGATTCTTTGGAAGCAGATCCCCAGGCATTCTCAGGTGCCTCTGGGAAGGCTCAAACCTCTAACCTTCTGGTTAGCAGCTTGGTGTGTTAACCATTTGCACCACTCAGGCTTCACCAGGTACCTATAAATCACCTATTTTGTGCTATATGCATGTTTTTATGTTCTTCTTTGTTAGACTGAGGTTCCTTAAGGGTGTTGTGTATATCTTGTCTAAGTGTAAGCCATTCTATAATGCCATCCAAATGAAGTCTTTTCGGACATGCTTATTCTATTGCCTTCCCTACATCATTCCTATTTTGGGCTACTACTTTCAGGTTATTACGTGTCTCAAGAGGCCTTTTCTATGCTGGAAGCTGAAGTTATCTCAGCTAACAAATTAACATGATTTTTAAAGAAAAAATTCGTTTTTCTCATGCTTTTCTTGGAAAAATCATAACAATTTTTTTAGAAGGATGTGTTTTTAAAAGAAGTTTAAATAAAAGAAGTTTAAAACATTGAGACCTCATTTGAGATAAGTGAATAATAGGTGATCATCTCTGTTCAAAAATGTCTAGAGTAAATATTTGAGACATAGGATGGGCAGTGGCCAAATTTAATTAATTAGGAACATAATTCTAATTTTTTTTCACTAGACTGAGAGGGACATTCTAATTTTTAATAAAGCACAGTGGGCTGGCACAGGGATGATATAAGCTATAGCTTAGATATCAGACACAACATATACTTTAGGACATAGAGACTTTTGGCATTCTTGTCAAGAGAAGAATTAGAAAATTTCTCCTTTACAATTCCAAGTTGGGAGATTTAAGCTTTCCAAGGAACCAGAGAATTAATTACAAAGCCTTCAGAAAAATGACTGTTCATTTTACTAACAGGTGAAATACTTCTATGATAAATCTTTGTTGCCTAACCCAAACATATATTAACATAAAAGATGTGCCTCCCCTTGTGATGGGGGTGGGATCATAAAATACTGCTCATTTCAATAGTGGGACTTGATAGATGCTTTCAATTAGAACCTTATGTAAGATTCTTAACATTCAAGGAAGTATCTTTCATTCTGTATCAGACATACTTTACATTTAAATTCCTCTTTTGCAATTTTAACTACAGTTGAATAATAGGAAGATAATTTTAGTGCTCTGTTATTTGGGCTATTCATTTTAATTTATTGAGATTAAATACAGACGTCACATTTATCATTGGGTTTTGCTATTTGCTCCTTTTATGTGCTCCTGAGCCCTACCAAAGAGTACAATGCTCCAACTTTTAAGGAGATTAGCTCAGTCACCTGAGGATGTGTAGATTTCTTAGGCCTCAATGGAGGGTGCTAAATTCCATAGATAACCAGAACCAGCAGAAATCTAACTTACATATAGCATAAAAAAAAGTTGCCATGGAGTTAATTCTGACTCATGGCAATATCCTGTCAGTAGACTTGTGGTCCATGGAATTTTCAATTTTCTGAAGTACATCACTAAGAGTTTCTTCTGAGATACCTCTGTGTAGTTTTGAACCTACAACCTTTAGATTAGAAACTTAATGTTAATTGTTTGCACTACCCAGCAGTGTCTTATACATAATAGGTGCTCAGTACACAGAGTGGAAGAGTGTGATGGTTAAAGTGTGTGGTGTAAAAGGTGGGTGGTTCAAACCCACCAGCTGCTCCATGGGAGAAAGATGAGGCAGTCTGCTTGCTTAAAGATTGATAGCCTTGGAAACCCTATGGGGAGTTTTCTTAGGGTTGTGGCTTGCATCCAATATATATGGGCATTCTGGCAAAGCTCACTTGCTCATCCGACTCATCATCCTCTGACTTCCAGTTCTTGGGACATGAGCCAGCAGCTGTCCACCTGACTTGCTGAGTTTGGTTTTGTTGGTTCCTGTAATCACATGAGTCAGGAAAAGCCTCCAGCCTGATGCCCTACCCACAGATTTGGAATTTGCCAGTCTCTGCAACTATGTGAGTCATTTCTGTGAAATAAATCTATCAATCAACACCCATGGAAGCAGCACTCGAGAAATCAAAAGTCATATATACTGAGCAAATCTGCTGAAAAAGATCTCTTTTAAAGTGTTAAGAAGCCACGATGTCATCTGAAGACTAAGGTGTGCCTGACCCAAGCCATGCTATTTTCAGTTGTCTCATATGTATGCAAAAGCTGGAATGGGAATAAAGAAGACAAAAAAAGAGCCTGTGAATTGTGGTGTTGGTAAATAATACTGAAAATATAATGGAAAGCCAGAAGAATGAAAAAATCTGTGCTAGAAGAAGTGCTGGAATGTTCCTTAGAAACAACAATGGCCAGACTTCATCTCACCTACTTTGGCCTGTTTTCAGAAGGGACCAGCCCTGGAGAAGGATATCATACTCAGTGAAGTGCAGGGTCAGTGAGAAAGGGGAAGATTCTCAATGACATGGATTGGCACAGGTAGCTTCACCAGTGGCCTGAAACATAGCTAGGATTGTGAGGATGCCGTAGGACTAGGCAGTGTTTCATTCTGCTGTATGTAATGCTGCCAGGAGCTAGAGCCAATTCAACAGCACCCAACAACACCAGCATCTACTGATGTATCTATATGCTTCATTGTTTTCGCTTCTATTAGAGCACCCAGTGTAAAAGAATATCAATTAGGTAGAGCCTCCTTGCTGGCAAAGAGGATTTAAAGTTAAACATCTCAACATGCAAGAGGAGACTGGCACTCACCATAACTTCTTGATGATCTTCTCCTCTTCGTGAAGGTACTTTTGTCTCTCTTGCTCCACCAGGATGCGCTGTCGCTGCACGGGATCCTCCAGCCTCTTCATTGTCTCCATCACTTTGCTGCTGATTTCCAGCTCAGCCTTCTTCATCATTGCCCTCAGCATCTCCTGGTTCTGCAGCTGTTGAACAAAAGAAATCAACCCCAATTGGCTCTGCCTGACTGAATGCCTTCAGAAGCAAGTCTGGGTAATCAGTCCCACAGCTGAATATTTATTTCAAGGAGAAAAAGAAGGGGGCAAAGACTAGATAAAATTGCTTCTTCAAGTAACATTTGAGTTTTAGCTGCCAATTGACAGCCAGACTTCCATGTCTGTGTCAGGGGGGAAAAAATTGTTCCACACTCTCATTAGTGCATCATTGACAACAGGCATAAACTCAATGGCATACTTTTATGGGAAGCAGTCAAGCACACCATTCTGGAACCAAGCACATCTTAGATCAAACCCTATACCCTCTTACTGCTGCACTGCAAAACCTTGGACAAGTTACTTAGTCTGCTTCTCTCTCTAAAGATGAGGAGTCACTTTGTTTGGCGATGTTATTCTGAGGATTAAATGAGATAATGCTTGGTATAAAATAGGTACTAAATAAGTGTTGTTATCTATGGAATATTTTAGAATATTAGTTGAAAGAAAATTTGTGCTCCCTTGTTTGTATGGTTCAATGTAACAAATACTATGTCACCAATGACCCTAAAACATAGCCCTTGATGATGATGTTGATGGTAGTGGTGGTGATTCCAGATAATCCCAAGGGTTTTAGCAATTTAATTTCCCTGGATTTTACTTAGGCTGCACATAAATATAAGCCCTCAATTTCCATATAATTTCAAGAACTCTCTTGTTTCTCATCCCAGAAAAAAAGTACAAACTAAACCTGTTGCCATCAAGTTGATTCCAATTCATGGTGACTCCATGTGAGTTTTCTTGACTATAATCTTTATGAAAACAGATTGCCAGACCTTTTTCCTGCAGCACCACTGGGCAGGTCTGAACCACCAACCTTTTGGTTGGTGCTGTTGTTGTTGTTATGTGCTGTGGAGTCAGACCCGACTCATAGTGACCCCCTCCCTTGGGTTTCTGAGGGGTGGCTGGTGGGTTTGAACTGCCAGCCTTCTGGTTAGCAGTCAAATGCCTTAGGCACTATGCTACTAGAGTTCCTTGGGTGCTGTTGAGTAGATTCCAAATGATAGCAACCCCACGTGACAGAGGAGAACTGCGTCGTAGGGTTTTCTAGGCTGTAGTCTTTATGGAAGCAAATGGCCAGGTCTTTCTCCCGTGTAGCTGCTGAGTGAATACAAACCATCAAGCTTTGCGTTAGCAGACAAGTGCATCACATAGGGACCTTAGGGAGAATGGGAAATAGACTTCACATGAAGCTCCACAGGAATCTAGTCAGACACTTGAGTCCTATTTCCCACATTTTTAGTATTTTATCTGGGGTGGACAGTTTTATCAGAGCATCATTCACTCGGCCTCAAACATTATCATCACGAGTTGGAGGTCAACTTGATGGCAGCTAACAAGAATTAAATCATGTTATTGTGGTGTGTCATCCAACTCAGTGACCCTATAGGACAGAGTACAACTGTGCCTCATAGGGTTTCCCATGCTGTAATCTTTATGGGAGCTGGTCACCAGAGTACAACCTTTTGGTTAGCATATGAGTGCTTAACTGTTGTGCCACTAGGGCTCTTCGGATTATATCATAGTATATATAAAGTTTCCTTGGAGTCCCTGGGTGGTACAAATGGTTAACACACTTGGCTGCTAACTGAAAGGTTGAAAGTTTGAGTCCAGCAAGAGGCACCTCAGAAGAAAATCCTCGGGATCTATTTCCAAAAAATCACTCACGGGAATCCTCTGAAGCATAGTTCTACTCTGACCCACATGAGTTACCATGAGTTGGACTTGACTCAGCACTTTAAAAAAAAAAAAAAAGGCAAAACACTTCCCCTGACATTTCAATTAGCTGTTATCAACCCCTGGACTCTTCTTGTACAGCAACTGGATTTTACCTCCATGGCAAATCTTTTGTTGGCATCCTCTCATCTGTGTGAATTGAAGGAAAATGCAATCTGACCATGTTGCCTTCTACTTGATACCTCATCAATGAGGTTTTCCATGTCCTCTGAGTAATGACAAAGCATTTCAATATGGACTGAAAACAGAGGCACCACCATGTTCCAACATCAGTTCTGTACTATGATTAACTGGCCTCCAGAGAGACTGCCTTGGTTGAATTTCTAGTTTTACCATATTATAGCTGTGTAACTGTAGGCAATTTACTAATCTGTGTCTTAGCCACCAAAAGGGGTGGTGGTAGTTCATATCCCATTGGCTGGTAATGAAGATTCAATGAGACAATAAAATAAAGCGCTTATAATAGTGCCTGGCACAAATCTAGCTCTAAGTAAATACCTACTATGTTTATCAGGAAGCATAAATCTGGAGGTGGGGCTTGTGGTTTGTTTGGGAGTGAACCAAATAAAAATGGGCCATTCTTTGGTTACCATCTCTATATGACTCATTATCATATAGAGCTCACACCGCTTTTGGTAATCTTTTTATATTGGTCTTAAAAACAGTCAGTATACTGCACAAAGGTACCACTTGGAGGAATGATGCTGAATATTTTTTGTGTGCTACTGGACATTGGTATGTCTTATTTTTTTAAAAAAAAAACAATTTCATGTAATTTTTTGGTTAAAAATCTTTAGAAGATAGTCATTCTGTTTTACATCCTACAGTGATTGCTTTAAATTATTACAGGAGATAAAAGTAAGTTAAACAGTAAAAATCATGAGCACTTACTATGTGCCAGAAGTGACACTTTATCCACAGTTTTAAATGGAAAAGAAACAAGGAATCATTACCAGCACAATTGAAACTCCAAGAGAGATGATCCAAGGTTAGACTTGTTATTTGCTGTAGAGTCAATTCCAACTCAAGTGACCAACCTCATGTATGCAGAGTAGAAGTGCTCCATACTTTTTTGTTTTGTTTGAATAATTTGTGTGTGTGTGTGTGTGTGTGTTGCTGAACATAGATATTTTTTAATGTAATGCCTTATAAAACTTTTTGGCCATTTAAAAATATTTTTTGTTATTGAGTTGTAATTTTTTATATATTCTTGTTTCAGGTAATCTGTCAGATAAACTTATGGTTAGTATTTTCTCCTACTTTCGGATTTGCCTTTTGAATAGAAGAGTTTAATATTGACGTGCAATTCATACATTTTCTTTACTATTTAGAATTTTTGTGTCTTGCCTAAGAAGTTTTTGCCTACCCCAAAGTTGTAAACATTTCTTTGGCATTTTCTCCTAGAAGTTTTATAGTTTTAATCTTATATTTAAGATCCATGATCCATTTCAAATTAATTGTTGTATTTGTAAGTTAGGAGCTCTGGTAGCATAGTGCCTGAGGCATTTGACTGCTAACCAGAAGGCTGGCAGTTCAAATCC